CGAGTGTACAGAAAAAGCTGACCTTCCTCGAAAACCAAATGGTCGCGCGCAACATGACCAATCTGACACCAATTCAGCTTGAAGAGTTTGAGTCTGTGTTTCGACATTTTGACCGAGACGGCACAAACACCTTGACAGAGTTGGAGTTTAGCGCCGCACTGGCCAGCCTTGGGCTGGTGTACGATGAACAAGAGATGCACGAGAAGTTCCTGGAAGTGTGTCACACCGGCATCGACCCGACAATGTCACCCATCTCTCGACGGCAGAGGGAGTCTCGTGGAGTAGGCTTCGAGCAATTCATCCGCTTCATGGTCGCCGTGACCGAAGACCAAAACAGCGCCGAACAAGTCTTCCAATCCTTCCGTGAGGTGGCAGACGGGAAACCCTATGTCACAGAGATGGATCTCAGGCATTCGTTGATTCCAGACGATCTTATCGAAGACCTGTTACAAAGTATGCCCGAGCACACAGGCCCAGACATGGAAGCAGACCGAGACGTACCCAAGTATGATTATATAACCTTCATGCAGGGCATGATCGGGGATGGACATCACGATGCTGGGCATAAAGATGACGGTCGAGGCAGCCAATCAAACGGTGTTACGACGCCGACCACCCCCAGGCGATAGAAATTCACTCCTTTTACTTCGCTTTCAGACATTCTGGTATCGTTCAATTCTGGGTTAGCCCATTGGTGTTGGAGGTGTTTGGATAGATATCAGCTTGAGCGATCCATGACCATTCAACTTTTATGAGCCGGAAGGGGGGGATTGCCTGGGTCCAGAGAAAAGCAGCTGGAAACTGAAAATAGCCCTCGTCGAATAACACACATAATTTAATCACTGTCATCCCTATTCCTATGGCCTTCATTTTTCCCTAGACAATGAGTCGAAGTGGCCGAGGCTCGGATGTTGGGAATCCCCGCTCCGCCCCGCCTTCCGCCTCGGCAGCAACGACTTTGACTTTGACTCCCATCCCTCCTAATGGACCGGGTGTCTGTTGTCGAGTCAGTGCTCGGCCCCCGAAAGAACTACTCACACCCTCATTCCGCCACGATGTCCGGGGTACAACAGCTCGCCGGTGTCTCGAGACGAAGCTCCAGGAGCTGTCAGATCCCTCACATGCACCCACCTTGAAGAGTTGGATACGTTGGGACCAGCCAGTCGCTCACAATGCCACCGCTCAAGACAACGTATTTGCCGTCGAAAGACTATGAGCTCCCCGACATCGATATCCTGACCTTGATATACGGTACGCCGTTGTTGTCTTGATTCCATGTCCTCCTTGAACACGCGACTGATTGTATATGCTCACCTAGAATCGCCCGATGCATGGACGACCGATTCCACGATCCTCCACGCCGAAGCTGCTCTCCCCTCAAACAGCGTCACCAAGGCGCAAGCGAGAACTTACACCAAGCGCCTCACCCATGTCTTCCGGCACCAGTTCGGTGTTGGCGCAAGTGGCCCGGGCAAGGACGTCGTGGTGTGCATCTCGTCTGGCCAAGTTCTGCTGCCGAACATCTTTTACGGAGTGATCGCCGCAGGAGGTGTATTTAGCGCGGCAAGCTCCTCGTTCACACCCTTCGAGTTGGCCAGGCAGGTCAAGCAGGGGAAGAGTAATTTGGTCGTATGCAGCTCCGACTGTGTCGAGGTTGCCGTCCGGGCGGCCAAGGAATGCAATGTACCGCTTGACCGGGTATTGGTGCTGGAGTCGATGGGTGGGAAGAGGGTACTACAGGACGTGGAGCGAAAGAGCAGGAATTTCCTCCAGGAAGGCTGGAAGAAGGAAGAGGAGCTTGACTGGGAGAGAATCACGGACAAGAAAATATTGGAGCAGCGGGTGGTCTGTTTGCTGTACAGCAGTGGGACGACAGGTGTTCCCAAGGGTAGGCTCCCCTGAACGTTTCCCTCAATTCGTTCCCTCACGAGATACCTTTGCTGACCTCTGCTGCCTGTGTCGATATCCAGGGGTCAATATATCGCACCTCAATCTCGTCTCTGAAGGGCTTATCCCCCAGTATATGATCCGCGAATCCTTCACCAGGATACGCCGGCGCGATCCCTCGTTCAACCTCGAATATCGGACCTTGGCCCATCTGCCGGCAGCGCACATCGCCGGCTGTCAGGGCTACTTTGTCAACCCATCGATCGCTGGGGGACCTGTCTACTGGATGCCGAAATTCGACTTCCCCAAGTTCCTTGAATACTGCAAGAAATTCCGCATCACCCAATTCTTCACCGTGCCGCCGATATATCTACTCATTGCGAAGAGCCCGCTGGTGACGGACCAGTTTGCGAACATGGTGCACGCGGTCTCGGGCGCCGCGCCCATGGGAGCAGAGCTGCAGGCCATGGCGGAGAAGAAGCTCGGCTGCCAGATCAGCCAGGTGTGGGGGTTGAGCGAGACGACGGGCGCCGTAACGGGCATGCCGTACGACCAGGACGACAAGACGGGCTCCATCAGTCCGCTATTGCCAAATATCCGCATGAGGATCGTGGATGACAATGAAAACGATGTGGAGGAAGGATCGGAGGGGGAGCTCATCGTCCAAGGCCCCATGATCACCACGGGCTATTGGGACAATGAGGCGGCAACGAGGGACAGCTTTTCGAAAGACGGGCAGTGGTTCAAGACGGGCGATATCGGCCTGTGTAAGGACGGCAGGTTCTACGTGGTGGATCGGAAGAAGGTATGTTCAATCGGCTTTCGATTTTTCCAATCTTTCCACGCCGAGACAAAAAAACTCCAATTTCGGTTTGAATTTGGTTTATGTACTGACACCTCACCTCACCCCACGACAGGAACTGATCAAATACAAGGGCCTCCAAATCGCGCCCGCCGAGCTCGAAGCCCTGCTGATCTCCCACCCGCTGATCCAAGACGCCGCGGTCATCGGCGTCCCCGAGCCTGGAGGGTTTGGCAACGAAATCCCCCGCGCGTACGTGGTCGCGGACAAATCCAAGGTGTCGGAGGAGGAGATCAAGGACTTTGTGAAGCGCAACCTGGCGCTGCACAAGCAGCTCCGCGGCGGCGTGGTGTTTCTCGACGCGATCCCCAAGAGCGCCAGCGGGAAAATCCTCCGGAAGGATCTGAGGGAGTTGGCCAAGAGGGAGAGGGTGAGCGAGCAAGCCAAGATTTAACGCGAGACAGAAAGGGGGCGGAAGGACGGTCCGGGATGAAGTAGATTGGGAAGAGACGTGATGTGAGCGGACGGGGCGGGGATAGATCAAATGGTGTTGGTTGATATACAGTAGATTGGGGACTCCGGACTTTCTATGACTCTGGAGGGCGGCGATTTGAATGGGTAGAAAAAGGTACGAGCCAGTCACAGTTCAGAGAGGGGTGTACTTGAGGGTTTCCGGCAGGTCACCACCATTTAGCAGCCATATTTTGACATACAGATACACGTGGAAAGTGGCCAACATTTCCCACCAAGAGGAGTGATTCTCTCGTGGGATTTGCGCCGCCACTGCTCCTCGGAGGCCGTATGCCGAAACCCTTGGTACCCTCGGTTACGCCGCCTCATATCTTCCACACCTTGACATTGTGCGGATTCTTGGAGATGGCATGCGCAACAAGCTTGCTGACGGCGCCTTGTTCCTCCCTCCCGTTTTTCCACTCCTTGGGGCCGGCGAGATAGGCGATGAAGCCTGGTGGGCCGGAGATGAGGATCTGCCTCTGTTCCGGAGAGGTGCCGTACCCGGTTGAGAAGTCCTTGTCGTCGAACCTAGACAGGGCTCGGAAGACGGCGTCCTCGTCGATCCACGTGTCCTCGGCGTTGACAAAGTACTCCACCGTGATTTGGCCGGGGTATTTTTGCTTCAGGGCCTCTAATTCTTGCACGATGACGCCCTTTTTCTCAGAAACTGGAGGTGGTGGCTTCGGTTTCGACTTGGAAAAGAAGCCTGACCAAGTTGGTTTGGGGGGCAGTGGTTCCGCGGGGGGGTCATCACTGACGCCGCCCAGGCAATCTTCGCGCAGCCTGTTTGCCCATAAGATATGCAGCTTTCGTTGCTTATTCCCCGCGTCGCTTTGCGCAGGCTTATTCCCTTCAAACAAGGCGTGCGCCACCTGTAAAGCGGGCGCGATCCCCGTGCCACCCGCAAAGAACACCACCTGTCGCACCTCTGGGCCTAGTTCATACTCCAAGTTGGGTCCGCGCATTTCAATGTCTGCGCCCAAACGCAATCTGTGAAGATAACTCGACACTTCGCCATAGGGATCCTGTCGTATCAAGAACCTGATTTCACCCTTCTCTTGCGCGGTCTTCTCATCGATCGGCGGCAGTGGTGTGTATGCCCTGACTATCTGAAGCTGCGGCTGCTTGAACTGCACATTCCAGATACCTCTCCTCCACGCATCCTGGTAGAGCTCGTAGTTGTGGTTGTGTTGCTTCGGTACCAGGTGGAATATGCTTGCGGTCGACGAGACAGGTTCTTTTGCGAGGAGCGTGTATGCGGCGAACGAGTCGCCTTTCACCGAGTACAGGTATGCCTGCCAAAGTGCGAACAGGCCGGATCCCAGTGCGACTCCGATAGCGAGACGGCGAAAGGTAGGCGAGTGGTTTCGCGAATCAGGAGACTTTGGTGGGTTTTCGGGAGGGGACGAAGTGTATCGCCTCGACGGGCCTGGCCTTAGTGGCCTGAAGGCTCTCTCGAAGAATTTCGGCGCCTCTCTTGAGCATCTCGCTAGCATTGAAAATGTTGCGGTAGAGGGCATGTTCAGAGGGTGTTTAGCCCAAGACCAGAAGTAAATCAATAGCTCGCTGCTTTTCTAGGCGCGAGGAGTCTATGCTAAATATGGAAATATCCCCATGCTGCCTTTAGCAACGACTCTCTCACCACGTCTGCCTCTTCAGCTCTAGAAAGATATTTCCACAACCATCAGTATTCAAGATCTGTGATGTGCATTACCCTAGGCCTACTCAATTAACTAGTGGGTGGCATGAAAATCTCCAAAACCCTCAAAATGTTTATCACTGGTCACGTCCCCAGACTTCACTCTTCTGTCTCGGGATCATCTTGAATGATCCGGATACCAGCTCCTCTAGTATTATCTTCGTCACTCTGCGCCCGTCCAAACGACTTTCCACACTTCCAAGTCCAGTATTTGGACTGAGCATAGCAGCGATACGTGTCGGCATTCTGTATGGCAATGTACGCGCCCTGAGTTCTGAGCTGCATCACATGAAATGGTCCATATCCATCGGGTGGGTCGGGTCCCCCTGAATCGACCACATTAGCAACGTCAAGAATGATCATGTCAGTCTAGTCAAGTGCCGATCGCCTTGAGGTGTATATGGGGGTGATATTAACACAATCACTCACAAAGGTCAACTATTTGTGGGAACTCGTCGTCGTTCTCATCAATTATATCCGAAAACCCGGTAATATCGTCCAAGAGAAAGGTCCAATGCAGGAGCTCGTGCAAAAGAATGCCACCTGGAGAGGTCATCCAATCACTGTCGTCATCACCGAGGCCGTCGCAAGTGTAGCCTGGCTCAGGGTTGCTTTCTGGGGCTTTGACTGAACTTGGAGGATTCGCTGTTTCCTCGGGTGACGGATACTCAAAAGCTTCGTCGCACATGGACACGAGTGCAATATCACCAAGGACGCGAGGATCTATGAAGGCAAACGCGGCGGTGGTTCCCCCTTCACCTTTTGGGACACTTGCTTGTTTTCTGGAAGGGCGGGATGGCTCCCGAATGCAATTTCCAACTGATCGAATTTTGGCTGTAGTTCTTCAGCCATCGAGGCGCTCGAGAGCACTTCAATCACATTCTGGCCGTCCAGCTCCCGGTTGAGGGGCATGTTTGCAATTATCTGGAAGACCTGTTTGACGAATGTCGCTTCCAGGGGCTGAAAAGTAGCGAAGGAAGATTTCCTCGCACGGGCCAAACGTTGCCGTAGCCACTCTTGCCAACAGCACTACATCTTCGAAAGCCTGCACTACCCGTTGAATCTGCCGATCGTGGGAGACGCCTTCAACAGCACTGAACTTTGGTATATTAGCGGCACATATCCTGCCATTCCGCACGAGACACAAGCAACTGATGAAAATAAGAGTCAGCTTCCATATGATGGCTTTGTTATGAGCCAATTGATGGAGAACGATGGGCAAGAACTTCGACGACCAGAGCTCGGACATTATGCAGCAATCACACAGCGCGTTCGACGACATCTACGGCGTTTGGACTATCTATTCTTCTACCATTTTACTTGCAGTACGTTGACGTTAGGTCGGTGATACGAAGTTGAAGTTGATCCTGCTCGAGTCTGTCGTCTTAGGCAGTTATCATGAAGACGAGGATCCGTGATGGTAAGTGATCAAGCACATTTCACCTGTACGTTCTCTTTACTCTCGTTCGACTTGAGTTCTGCGATACCAAGCAACTTAGAGAACTCTGTCAAGTATCAGGACTCTTACGTGTCACTTCCCACTCTCAGAGGTCCTTATATGGTTGGAGAGTGTTGAACTGTCGATCTTTGCCTTTAGCTGAGAGGTGCAACGCGACCGCCCGAGATATACAAGTAGAAAAGGAGGGAGACAATCCATTATTCAATGTCGCATTCTCTGGCCAACTGCCCTTGTGGATTTTACCTTCGCAGCTGGTACCACTTTTCCAACAACGACCCATATATTTCACTCCTGGTGGGAAAGCTGGCAACAGCATGCTTCAAACGGTCAAGAGGAACTTGGCCGACAATTGCGACGGTGCTCCCGTGAAGGAGGTCGCCCGCTTCTCTGCCGACAAACGTCGCTCCGACAAGCACGTTCCTCTCCGAATCCACCACCCATTGCGCCCAGCCGTCATAGTCGAATTCAGCATAGACCCAGGCACCGGGGAAATCAAACGGCACTGCAACTTCCACGGCCTTGATGCCCTTCTTCAAGGCTTCCGCCAAAGTCAGACCAACCGTGGCGACGTTCGGGTCCGTCACGACGACTTGCGAAATGGCAACCTCATCTGATGTTGCGGCGAATTCGCTCCAGGCCTCGGGCTCATGGATGTGGACTCCTCCAGCTCGGGCAATGATGGTCGCCGCGGCAATCCGGCCTTGATAAGTACCCATGTGTGTCAATGGAGCCCGACCGTTTGCGTCTCCAATTGCAAATAACCAATTACCTTCTAAGGAAGAAACACACATGCTCTGATCAACAGCCAGGGCACTGCTCAAGCCGATGGTTTCCAGGCCTATGTTGTCCGTGCGAGGCTTTCTGCCGGTGGCTATGAGGAGAGCGGAGCCAGTGACGATTTCTCCAGAGCCCAGCTTGACTGAAATCTTACCGTCACTTTCCTTCCATGCTTCGACCACTCTCGACGACAAGTGAAAATCGACATTATGAGCAGTCAATGCCTCTCGAACACGCTTCCCGGCTTCCGGCTCGTATCGACCCAGCACTTCAGACGTGGCACTGACCATGGTGACCTTGGCGCCGAAAGTGGAGAAGGCTGTGGCCATCTCGCAGCCAACGACCCCCGAACCCACGATAATCAAATGCTCAGGTACCATATCTGCCGCGGTGGCCTCTCTTGGAGTCCAATAGTCGATTTGATCAATACCCTTGATGTCCGTGGGGATGACCGGTTCCGAGCCTGTGGCGACGATGACGGCGTGGATGGCGGTCAACGTTGCTTCTTGGCCGTTGGCATTCTTCACCAGCACCTTCTTCTCTCCGACGATGGACCCTTTGCCTCGCACGACGGAACATTTCTGCTTCAACGACAGGTTCAAGATAAAGTCGTCGTCCCATTTGTTTGTGACTTTGTCCCGTCGCTCAAACACGCCTTGGACGTCGACGAGGCGATCGGCCGCAATCAGCTGCCTGGCACCGCCAATCTGGCGGGCGCCGGCGATCGCCTCGCCAGGACGCAGCATCGCCTTGGAGGGCATGCACGCCCAGTAGGGACATTCGCCGCCCCAGAGCTCGTCCTCGATGACAACCGAGGAGAGGCCCGCCGCGGCGGTCTTGGACGCCACTTGACGGCCCACGGGACCTGAGCCGATGACGACGACATCAAACGTGGCGGATTGCAGGGAATCTGGGAGGTGGTTGTCCGGGTGAAGGTTGACGTTGCGAGGTGCCCTTGTTTGCATATTGACGAATGTGAAAAGGTATCAGGAAGCGTTTTTGGGGATCGAATCCCGCGAGGAGAGTTTCTCAGAGGTTTGAGCTGAGAGGGCAACCGCTTCCATTCCATTCAACAGATCGAGGGCGCAGCAACCCCCTTTTCAACCTTTTTTTTTTCAACCTTTTTGTGCTGTTCTCCGTCAGCAATGCAGGATGGTGGTGATGATCCCTGACAATAATTCGTAATCCACGTTGCTGTTCTGTCTGCTCTGACCCAGACCAGTCCCGGTCCAACCAGTGTAGTGCGCCACGCAGCTCGGACGGACCGATCGTTGAACTTTGTCAAAACCAGCGTTTGATAAGTTATCCAGTGGTGTAATAATGCCAGTGGCAGCCAGTGCCAAACCATTCCCGACGTGGCTGGTACGTCCGCATTTTCTGTCAGCGTGCATCATTTGGATCGTGATCAACGCCCACGCGCGCGCTCAGTGTACATTCGCACCCCCTGGGGTAGTTATCATTGGATACGCATTCCATGAAACGTAGTCACTGGGCTTGTGTGGAGGGGGTTATCTTGTTCGCCTCTCCCCCCCCCCCCCCCCCCCCCCCCCCCCCCCAACCCACCCCCTTTCCCTCTTTCCTACCGGATCTATCC